GATTCAATTGGGAACCAAAGATGCCCTTGTTTCGGGTTTGAAAGCTATGTCTGTGTTGATTCACGGTACGAACTTAATCTGTTTTCCTGGCTTTGTTTGATCGTTGATCCACAGAGTATTCAAATGGATGTAGGTTGTGATTTGTTGGTACTAGAATGCTGGTTTTGCTTGTCAAAGTTTTCATAAATAGAAATTGGAGAAAGAAAATTATGAGGGAAAATTGAACTTGTTTGTGTTTGTTAGGGAAACAAGTACTCATATTTTACAAGTCTTTGGAACTGTTAAGTTTAACAAATTAGTTTATTTAGCCGAATTGATGGGACTTAAAATAGAAAAGAAGAGGAAAAATTGTCAGTAACTTAGGTCTTTTCCCTTCAATTTCCCACCAATTCTCAGTTGAGTCTCGTAGTGGTTTCAATCTGCATAATTAGAATATAATTATTTTATTATGAGTTACTGCCACCTCTACATTGGACTTCAATTCCAACCTTTCAGTGTGGAAACTGAATTTCTCCTATCAAAGAATTCAAAGTGGAGTTCTGGTAATTCAAACAACCAATTATGTTATAATTCTACTGTAATGGGACTAATATGCTTATTAGAGCTACAACTTGTCCTATGAATTAAATGGAAGATGAACCAAAAATAAAGTTAGTACTCGTAAGTTAGAAAATGATGGAGTAGAAGCATGTCAAAATAATAGGAAATGGATTGGCTCGGTGACGAGCCAAAGAAATTATTATGTTGGGTCTGTGAATGATTTATATGTCGTTGTCATTTACAGATGTTCAAAGTACAGAGATGTTCAGGACGTCTGGTGGAGTCCATCTTGTTGTACGTATCCTCAATGATGGCATTCAAGATTTAGATATCTTGAATAGCGGGTTTGCTGTTGTTACAGCGGCTGCAACTGGTAATGAGCTTGTCAAAGAAGTACTCATGGAGTTAAAAATTGATGAGCTTATTTTGCAAGTTCTGACTGGACAGAGTAAAGATGGCATTCAAGCTTTATATGATGCTATTCGCATTCTCTTAACACCTGACGACAATCGTGTTGTGGCTTCCCAAGTAAAAAATTCATTTAACCTTTTTATGTTGCTGCATTTGGAGTTAGGACCATATGTGAAAACTTTTTACCAGACATTACATGTTTTTCAGTTATTCATCATTAATCTAATTCAAGTACACGTTTCTTGCTGTAATTTTGAAATTTGCAAAATCTCAGGTTTATGGTTATGCACGAAGATTTGCAAAAATTGGAATTGCAGGAGCTCTTACGGATTCACTCCACGCCGGGCTTAGCTCCCCTAGTCTAGTTTCAGCAAGTTTCGCACTGAAGGCAGTTGCTGTTAATGTAAGCTTTTCTGGGACTTGATGTGATTGAAATTCAATTAATTATGAAGGCTGTTAACGATCTTACTTGGACACTTGATAATATTTAGTTA